ATCAACATAATTTGCCTGGCAGATTGCATATTATCTTTCTTTAAGTGTTCAATCATTGTAGTCCGTTTTGCCTCGGTGTATGGCACCTCCTTGCCTTCAGTTACCTGAACTCCTTATCTGTTTTCACCCCCTGGGAGCAAAATTGAAACAAGCACGGATTAACTCAATGTCACGGCAGCTTTGTCCCTGGGATAATGGGGGACAATGAGCTCTGCAGTGACAGCAGTAAATGATGCCAATTTACTCAGAGAAAGGGAGAATGATAGAATTGGAAAAGAAGAGAATAGTTGGGGAAGATAGCTTAAGACTCTAATCCAACTGAAGTAAATCAGAACGCTCTGGGTTTTGCTGAGTGTTTGTCCTGTTGAAGTCATTTATATCATCCAATCATTGTGGCACAGGCGGCACAAATGCTGACTGAAGGAATGTGACAGAATGGGTTTAAGAAGATTTGGTGAAGCATGTCATAATTTGACATGTTTTGTCTTCAGGGTTCCAAAGTTTGATTGAGCTTTTCCGCCATTGCTAGGTATGAAGCCCCTGTTCATCTATACATTCCAAGTTAATACCTGATCAATACCTGATAAACAACTGTGTTGATAAAGGGTACATACAGGGCAGGGCAATGTTTTTACTGAATAGAGCTTAGACACATGATAATGTACTTAATAAACTTCCATCAATGCAAGACAGTGCTGCTAAAAGCTAACGTGAACATGTACGCTTATACAGATGTGTTGTTCCCTTTGTAGCATTATCTCGACCCAAACAAACTGAAACATGATAGAAAGTTACGGCACTGTGCATGCTCAACTGTTGGAAAGCATTGATGCAAGGAAATGGAAGTGACGGAGGCATGCAATTCCAAGGAATCAGACAACTTAGAACCTCTCAGGCAGGTACAGTACATGTAGGAAATCGATTAGAAACTAAGTAACATGCATACAGAACATGGTCAAGAAATTGTCGAGTGCCATCACATCTTCATACAAAAATGAAGTTTGAGGTCAATTCATATACTATTTATAAGAAGTGGGCGTATGAACAATGATGCAACACTTGGTTTGTCGACTATACTTCTAGGCATTTTGGCTGTCGCCATCTTTGTTTTATGGCATCAGAAGGTTGAGATTGGTAAAAACAAGACATTTGTGTTTTTTTAGTCTACCCCTTTCTGAAAGGAACCACAATTTGAGGAAATGAACAAAATGCAGATTTGAATAAAACTTTGAACTAGTGATTTAGACCATAAAATAGGCAATCAAATGTTTACTGATGTTATAACAGTATATAATAAATATATATATTTATATGTTAATAATTTAGTTTTTGGGAGAAGGGGTGGGATTAAATAAGTGTAAACTTCTTCCCACCCCTTTTCGGATGTGTAATTAAGTAGAGTAATATTTTTGTATATCAATTTGACCCTGCTTATTTTTTGTATTGTATAATAATTCTTATGTTAAATTTTTTGTATTATTGTTTACACATTCAAAATAAATCTGAGGCCTGTAAGACGAAGCCGGTTCAACTTAACCTGGATATGTTTGAGTTAGCCGGTTGGCCAATCCCAAACATACGCACTCTCGCTAGGCGGTCCAACGACGCGGGTTATAAAGTGGATCGCTCAAGCCAGCCGTGTCCTATCTAGTTAGGTGCGCGTTCACATGAAAGGGGTGGTATTTGGAGCATTCGACCAATCTCAAACACGGAGAAGCGTACTGACAGCGTAGCGCGTCATACTTCCTGAATGAAAAGTCAACTATAATATTAGACAAATATGAAGACGTTAAACTTTAAACATCCATGACTTAAACACTTTATCCAGGATAAAAGCCACATAGCTGCACCTGCAAGGTGAATACAGCTGGTAAAAGAAAAAGTGTTTGAATGCGTACATTAACAGGTTTATGATATCACTGCTGACTAAGACACGAGTGGATCTGACTTTAATTACATTTGACTCGAGTGTTTCGTCAACTTAATGTGTTGCTTAAAATAATACTTCTGCATACAGTATGTGACACTGTGAGTGTTGCACGGCCAGATACGGCTCAAGAAGCTGACTCAGATAAGGAAATATTATGATACATTATGATATGATGTAATATGAATGATAATGGGACACATCGACGTCTGCACTCACAGTGTCGCGGACTGTACGTAATGTTACTTTGATCCGGTTACTTATGTTGTGGCAGATATTTAAGTAAGCTTTCTTAAAGGTAGGGTAGGTAAGTTTGAGAAACCGGCTCGAGATCGCTAGAATTTGAAAATACACAACCGGAACAAATCTGCCACTTCCTTATAGAGCCCCTCCTCCAACACACACGAACGTGCACATGACCAATGAGGGCACAAGATAAGTTTGTGCCCCGATGGAAGGCTGACAGGCAGGTGGGCCATCCAGTTATTTTAGCCGGGCCGGCTAAAATGATTGGTCGTGCTTTTTACAGTATTACAGCTTCCACAGATGACATTTTTTTATGGATTTTTTGTCAAAGCACTTAAGATATTCATTGCTATCGGGATGTTAAGAGCATTCCATGGAATATAACAAAAAGTGTATCTCGAGCCGGTTTCTCAAACTTACCTACCCTACCTTTAATGCTATTGTTATAATAGTCAGATTGCTCTGAAGATGGGAGGTGATATTCTATTAATTTTCACGTTCACACAGTCGGTGATTTTTGCCGGCCGTCTTTCCTGCAACGGCAGTTTAAACTGTATTTCCTTTCTCCTGTAATATGACTTGATCACTTTAAACTCCGCACACAGAGCTCTGATTGGTCAGCAGGCAGTGCTTTCACTGACTTGGGTTGCGGTCGAATAGTCCATTTAGCTAGGAACCTTCCTAACGGAGTGAAATGACCCGGAGGTCCCTCAGTGGCAGCCATGATAAGTGCCGTTCGAATTCTCTAAATGAAAGGAAAGGAGGTTTCAAACTTCCTTTATAACCTCCTTTAGCTTAGGAACCACTGGACCTCCCTAACCGAAAGGAGAGGAGAAAATGGTGCCCCACAATGCCTTGCGGCCGCGGCATTTGCCGTCACACAAAAGTCGGCCGTTCACGGAAACAACCGATTATGAACGAGAAATGATATCATGAAAGTTACGGAAAGACTGGAATACAATATATATATCAAAACAAAAAGCTAACATCTCATTTCAAACACAGTATTTTCCCACATATTTAAGTTATATTTATTTGGATTTATGCATTCATGTTGAGAATGTTCCATACAAAAATGTTATTATTAAAAAGGCATTTACACCATAAAAGATGACTATTGAGATCTATTGTCAGGAATGTTAGTCTTATATGTATGGCCAGAGGGCAGGACCTATACACACATTTACTACCCAATAGCATTGTGAGGCTGAACAAAAGGACCTTTTGACTATGTAAATGTAGTCTTTTAATAAAACAAAAACATTTACTGACTTTTTTGGATAGCTTAAAGTAATGTTGTAAAATTACAACCGGGGGCCTTACAGGGTTAAGGGCTATTGTTTATTGTTATTTACTTTAAGATGTTTATTCTTAACCAATAATTGAATTTAATAACTCTTATTTAAATGATGTGTGTGTGTCTCTGTATTCCTGATGATACACTGAGAGAATGAGCTCATAGTGCTGCTGATCATCATAAGCTAAACAGTCTGTATATTGCACTACATTTGTATAATGTAAGCTTCGTTGATACTTTGCCTGTGGGAATAAGAAAAGAATAGTTAGATATACTGAATATTATTTGATCTATTCCACCACTAGCTTAATCCCAAATAATGTAGATTTGTGTTGTAGGTGCCTTAAATAACCCCTTATTTTATAGTGAGATGTATTTTTATGTTCATATAATAGTGTGTGAACGTGAAAATGAATAGAATATCACCTCCCATCTTCAGAGCAATCTGACTATTATAACATTAGCGTTAAGAAAGCTTACTTAAATATCTGCCACAACATAAGTAACCGGATCAAAGTAACGTTACGTAGCCTACAGTCCGCGGCACTGTGAGTGCAGACGTCGATGTGTCCCATTATCATTCATATCACATGATATCACATCATAATGCATCATAATATTTCCTTATCTGAGTCAGCTTCTTGAGCCGTATCTGGCCGTGCAACACTCACAGTGTCACATACTGTATGCAGAAGTATTATTTTAAGCAACACATTAAGTTGACAAAACACTCGAGTCAAATGTAATTAAAGTCAGATCGTGTCTTGGACGGGGCAGTGATATCATAAACCTGTTAATGTACGCATTCAAACGCTTTTTCTTTTACCAGCTGTATTCACCTTGCAGGTGCAGCTATGTGGCTTTTATCCTGGATAAAGTGTTTAAGTCATGGATGTTTAAAGTTTAACTTCTTCATATTTGACTAATATTAAAGTTCACTTTTCATTCAGGAAGTATGACGCTGCGCTGTCAGTACGCTTGTCCATGTTTGAGATTGGTCGATCACTCCAAATACCACCCCTTTTATGTGAACGCGCACCTAACTAGACAGGACACGGCTGGCTTGAGCGATCGAGTTGATAGCCAGCGTTGTCGGACAGTTTAGCGAGAGCGGGTTTGTTTTGGATTAAGTCAACCGGATAACTCAAAACATATCCAGGATATGTTGAACTAGATTCGTAGTATAGGCCCCAGGTTAGCCGCTCAGCATAAGTTACCATGGAGATAGCCCGCTAAGAAGTGAACCAGCGTCGTAGGACCGGAAACCCCGAGTTTTCCCTGAAGTTAGCCCGCTAAGCGAAAATCCGGCTTCGTCGTACAGGCCTCAGATCAAATGAAAAAATAAAAATAAAAAAATAACCTTTATTATTTTTTGTATATATATATATATTGGTTAATATTATTTGGTTTTGGAATAACTTGAGTTGCACCCTGTTGGCCATTAAAGAGAATGTGAGTTTTAGGCATTGGCTTCACATTTAGGACTAGTTGACAAATGTACTCCTTATGACATTCGATTGTGGTACTCACAGTAACAGGATCAGTCGTTTGGTCAAGTCAGGTATGCAAACACATAGTGATTCATGTCAAGAAGTCGGGGCTCGATTCGTACACTTCTTTTGATAGTTGTCACATTTGTCTCTGTTGGATCGTTCAGTTCACCTAAAAAAGGAAAAGGCATGGTAGGACAAGTTAGTTAAAGAATATTTTAACTTTATTACTATCATGGGGGTTCAGAGTTGGTTTTCTGTGATGAATGATTACGAATGTGGAAGATTTTCTGCTTAACAAACCATTTGTGATTTAATGGATTAAATGGGGGGAAAAAATAAATTTAAATTAACAAATGTGTACTTGTTAATTTGGTCTATTATGTATCTGTTACCAAAAGCCCACTGGCTGGCCATGACCAAAGTGAAATTAATTATCAGACATTCAAACTGCACTATAGAGTCAGCAGATAAACAGTTTTTCGTTGCATTCGGTTTGGTAATTATACCTTTCAGTGACCTTTATTCATGTCTGTTGAATACAAATGATAAATAAGTAAGGGTGAATAAGTTTGAGCACATCAGGGTCAGATAGACAGATTCAAATCCAAAATGTTTGCAGGGAATGTTTCAAAGGAGTCCCCTGACAGAAAAAACAGTTTGGATGTTAGTTAGTTATAGGAATGCAAAATATAGCCCTCGGGATAAATGATACAGCATTCATACATTGACTCATCAAAATTCCGTAAGCAAGTCATTGCTAGCGTCCTCAAAAAACCCAATGTTGCTTTTCAACCTTTCATCAAAGATAAGATAAAAAGAAAACACAGAGAGAATGGTAGAGAACAAGCTTTCATAATGTTTAGTTGGATAAAAATTGTGCATTCTGTCTCGAGGCTATGTCGGCCGAGGTGAATAAACAAAAGCAATTTTAAAGTCTCCATGCAATTAGTGCTGTTTCACAGACCAATACATCCTTCTGCTAAAACAAAGCTCTTTCTAAGGTCTGCATCTGCCAGGCGTCCATCTTTGCCAAATCACACAGTCAGGGTAGAAAAATAAATGACACACAATCCAACTGGCTGACAGGGAAAACACTGCAGTCTTATGGCAAAAGACAAAAGAAGTTTAACAGTGCCAGTGTGATGCTGGATAATAAGCACTGTGTCACAGCGGCCTACCATAATGAAGAAGCAGAATGCCTGATCCCAGACAAATGACCGTCGTTGGCACTTTCTCCATAAAAAATCTGCCCGTTTATCAAGAGATGTGCATCCTTTTTAAGGGTCTGTTCATCCAAAAGACAAAAACAATATGTATTTGTCCAAGAATACTTAAAATGATCCTTAGAAAACTCAGATTTAAAAAAAAGAAAATAGTTTTTTACTCATACTTCTTAATAGAACTCTACATTGCAGTAAGGAACACAAACGAGGATAACCTCTCTATGCAAAGAGTTTGCAGCATTCTGTCTGTAATACAAGTATAAGAAATTGGTTAGGTGTTATATTTTCTAACATAAGATGTATTTGTTAACGTACGTAGGTGAGGATGTGGACTGGGATATCTCCCTGGGATAGAATATGCACAGATTCATGTACGTGCAAATATAAGGGACTTTTTGGAAAAATCTTGTTCAAAACAAGTTGGCTTTGAACCTTTAAAATCTAAAGACAGTGTTTAAGCAAAGCATTTTGAGTGGTAAATATTCAAATGTTATTTAAGGCTTGATATTTTTCAAGTCAAGTCAACAGGATTCTGGCACAGGAACATAACATCCAGATAAATAATTCCACATAAAAACCCTCATTGGCTCAATTACCTCCCATAGCAAACATCAATGACCACCTAACCAGACCATTTTGAATACCTTAAAAAAAGAACTGAAGATGTTGGCAGATTTAAAGTTAGTTCATAATTAAGATGGATAAGAAACAACTGTTCATATGTCCTGAAGTCAAACTTTTCCTGGGGTTTCAATCTACTCATTAAAATAAACTAAACGAAAAGACAACAATTTGCTATCTCTGGCAACCCATTTCACTCGTTACGTCATGATGGGATTTCTGCCTCTGTGACAAGAATGCAGAATATCCTCCCAGAATCCCATTGACAATCTCTCTCTGCAGTGCGGGGTGATTCTAAGCCACAGAGATTTCCCGACATCCATGTTTATAGCGGTTAGCAGTTGCCAAGTACACCTCTGCTTTTGATTCTGGCATCACAATATGCTTGAACCAGATTCCAGAGCCTGCAAGCAGCCGCTCCACCTCCAGCAGCCGAGTGCCCACACTGCCTCGTGGTGGGCTTAACATTGTTCCAGTGCAAACGGGCATGAAGCTGTGAAAGTTCTACCAGAATTGAGACAGTTACAATTTCACGCTGCATAACTGAGACGCTGCTTTTGCGTGACGCGTAGGTCATCAAACAGCTGTCACTCTAGATTATGGTTGATGTAACAGAATGTAACAGAGGAAAAAGGGTCCCTCTAACTGCATGTGTTCCTTTCTCACTTTTGCCGTGGTGTTAAACAGAGGTGGGAAGTAGTGGAATACAAATACTTTGTTACTGTACTTGAGTACATTTTTCTGGTATCAGTACTTTACTCTACTACTTATTTTTCTGATGACTTTTTACTTTTACTTCTTACATTTTTAACACAAATACCAGTTTTTTTCAAACAGGTTTGTTACTTTAGTTTTAATCTGTGTTTGGTGGCGTGATCATTATTATTTAGAGTCATTGAGTGCCTATTGATTTGAACACGATCCGTGTGTCCATCATTTCCTAGTCTTCTCTAAAGAAGACGGACCAATGAAAACGTTGTAATGTTGCCGTTGTTCAGCATCGTAACATTCATTAGCTAACAATGACATTATTTAAAACAGTTGGTAGTTACTTAAGTACATTTCGAAGCCCATACTCATTTACTTTTACTTCAGTAAAGACGTTTAGTCAGTACTTCTACTTTTACCAGAGTATTTTTAAACATGAGTATCTGTACTTCTACTTGAGTAAAGGATGTTTGTACTTTTGCCATCTCTGGTGTTAAAGTTATGTTATGTAGTTATGTAAATGCAGTTACATGTGGAGACCTTGAAAGTAAGGAATATGTAAATTGAGTATCGTCTGCCCTATGATACATACATTCATCTGTTTTCACTCACACCCCAAACGCTACAACAACTATGCTCTGGCTGTCAGCTTCTCGACGTAAAACAAGCAGTGTGCATGCTCATGAATGTCAAATAGCTCAAGTAAGATGTGAGCTACTGAGTGCCTGAAAGCAAATTAATTAAGCTGTGTGTGTCTCTGAACGCTCTATACAAAATAAGTTGCATCGAAGTAATCAATCAATAACGCTGCCTGTCATATAGGTACTCTTCAAGGGTCAATCAAGGCGGATGGAGGATGCCAATAAATCGTTTTAAAATCAGCGTTTAAAGCCCAGTGAATCCAGTGTTGACAGTTGGTTGATTAAGGAATCAAGATCACACACGCCTTCATTCAGGGCCTTTCACAAGCAAGAATCAGTATGGGACCATCAGGAGTTACTGAGACATTGTGAATAACACGTTAACATACCATTAAAATGCATACTATAAAGCAATTAGATATGTACGTACACAAATGACAGCACTTGTTTTTAACCTTTTCAGTCAGGAACCCCAAGAATAATCATGTTGGTGTTCACAACATTAATCACTAATAAACTGTGAGAAATGAATGCTTTTGATGTAAACATTTGGCATATTATTACAGTAAGTCCCAAAGCTAAAGAAGTGGATGTTTGTGCTATAAAATGAAAACAAATAATGTAAATGTAAAAAAGTAAGGGGGTCTTGTGTTAGTACGCACCTTTCCATAAAACTGAAAAAATGAAGCGATAGAGTCAGGAACTTGTCACGTCACGGTTTCTTTCTTAGCCTGTTTGCTTTTTGTGATTGTGAATAGATCTTTAAGATCTAATTCCGACTTTCCAGAAGGGAAAACACATTGAAATGAAAGGACCAGGTAACACGAAAGGTGATTAATAAATGAAGATAGGCTATGCTTCTATTCGTGATGAAAGTTTTGCTTAGTTTTGTGTACCTTGAACAACTTCTACTGTATGTCCTGGCTGGATTTCCATGACTGTTTCTCCAATTGACCTTCCGGAATCCTCTTTTTCAGACACAGCAAAATGATGTCGATGGTAGAGGTAATGTACTGTAAACGCCATTCAGATAATATTGCATTTTTTCCTCCCCAACCATCTGGCCACCACCAGGAATTATCCTGCAAATCTCTGTGGGGACCGGACCCCCAGGTCGACAACCACAGGTCTATAGTACATTAACCAGAGAGTGCGGACCTTCGCCAAAGCCAACAGTGCATTCAAATGCTCCTCAGATGATCTCGGTTTCACAGTAGGGAAGAAGACTGTGTATTGGGGAATTTTAAGTCGCATTGTGGAAGAAAACATGGATGCTATATAAAAAAGAGTTGTGTATATTATTGCTAATTTGGATATCAGTTTCTGAGTTAAACCAACAGGTCCCGTGTTATTACATTAACGTGTAGACACTCCACAATTGGCTTTTGCTCTATAATTGGTTCTTTCTTTGGCTTTCCATCAAGTTTCATGAAAATTGGGCCAGTGGTTTTTGTGTAATCCTGCTGACATACTAACAGACTAACTGAGCCAAAAACACAACCAACCACACACACACACACACACACACACACACACACACACACACACACACACACACACACACACACACACACACACACACACACACACACACACACACACACACACACACACACACACACACACACACACACACACACACACACACACACACACACACACACACACACACACACACACACACACACACACACACACACACACACACACACAGGGTTGCTTTAGAGGATCATTTTGAGTCTGGTTAGTCATCTGATCCAAGCCACAAAGAGCACATCTGATCCCAAAACCAAAGCCACAACTGGACACCCACAAGAGACAGAGCAGACTGCTGGGTTGCTCTAGAATTAGATTGTACGTACTCCTTGCATATAAGTTACTGAGTTCAGTGTGCATTTTAAATAAGCAAGGGAATGGTGGTTGAGTACTACAAGACAGATCCAAATTTAAACCCGTATTGCCTTCAGGGGAGATGA